TCTACATTCAATTCAACAAACGTAATTGCTTAAGGGCAAATAAAATCATAAATATATTTGAAAGACGAGAATCAATAGATACCCGAGACTGAATGAAGTGACTGCTGAAAGAGATGTCGCTGCACAATAGAGCTCGTAATTAGATGTAAAACCCTAGTGGGAGATATTCCTCTTTATTTAAAGGGGTGACCGTACATTTACACCTTTGCCCCCCAGATCAAATTGCGCGTTTTCATGGGCTTATACACGAGGCAACTGCATATAAAGAGGGGAAAATTGCAGTAGCGGTCCTAAATCTTTTTAACTTTTGCAAATTTTACCCTAATCCTTATTTTGTGTCAGTGAAGGTCTCTAACCTTTCATAAATATACAGGTGAAGTCCAGATTAATGGAATACATCTATTTGACTGTTAGTTGACCAAATAGTTGATTTTGACTTCAATTTTGACCAATTTTAAAAGAACAAAAGGATAACTTTGCATTTTTCTTTTAACTAAAAAATTAAATAAAAAACCAAAAAAAATAAAGAAATATACCCCAACCCCCTACACCAAACCACGCCCACCCCTTATGAAAGCATAAAGGCTGATGACCGACACTTTCTTCTTCCTCGACTCCCAACCACACCGGTGGAACCCAAACACGCTTTGACAACAACATCAAACAGGAAATGCTGGCCCAGAAGTACCCGCGAAGCTGAGGGAACTACAGTCCATACCCTACAATCACAACTAAATACTCAGCAAGAATACTATTCACATCAAACTTCAATCGGGTCACCAAAATTTGTTCCACTGAAGCTGAATAGAAGCTAATGATGATGGTAATGAAGGAAACCTTAGAGGAGTGCCCACTGGAGAAAGACCAGTGGTCAACAGCAAAAGAGAAGAACATGTTCTTGCTAAAAAATTGGGCGAGGGCGTTGGATGAGGTGTTTGAGAAGGTCAATGAAGAAAAGTGAGCGAATGATGGGGAAAAAAAGATAATTATTACCGGAGAACTTGAGCAATTTGAGGACCAAGAAGAGTAATATATGATAAGATATGAATTTGAGGACCAAGAACTTGAGGAATTTGGGGAAAAAGGTGTAGAGATGGAGGGAGATTGCAGTGTCTAGGTTTATTAGGTGGCTAATAAAGGTTGGAGAGGGTTGTTGTAGGGATGGCAATTTGAACCGTCAAAATAAAAAATCGCGGTTAATCGAATCGAATGGGACGAAAAAAATCGAACCGATGGTGCAATGGGGCGGATATGATTTTTTATTTTAATGAACCGGTTCGTGGCGGTGCAGGTATGGTATTTACACCGTCGAATCGAAACTGAACCGATTACCAGCTAAAAAAAAAACAATTGGATTGATTATTGGGCTTTACACTACTTTTCTATCTAACCCAAAACAAAATCCCCCCCATTACATCTACCTGACTCAACCGGCCAACTCACTTACCATTAGTTCATAATAATAGCATTAGTATGACAGTATATCAATGCAAACCATACTCTCCACAAACCACAAACTCACGCACAGCTTCTTTTATTGTTATTTTTTTCTATTATGTGTAGAAAATTCTAATTCTTCATCATATTCTAGAGCTTGTGCAACATTTAGCGAGAAGGAAACTGACGAAGAGGTGCATTTTTTTATTTAAATCTTAGTTAAAACCATTCTGTAATAGGTAGTATTGTTGTATTCTCTACTTACATTTCTTATTTACTATATATGAATCAACTTTGAATGTTGATCTATGCTAGTAAGAATTGTGGGGAAGAATGAATCAAGTAACTTCGATGCCTAACATTTAAGAATGAAGGAAAAGTTTAGTATTGTTATATTTATAATATTGTTTGTTAAATTTGTATTTTCCAATTGAAAATTGGGATAATGTTTGCATTTTCGTTTGGAATATTTTGTTTTTTTTTTCATTGACTTTTTTCATAAATTGTTTTATATCAATTTGGCGGATTAACCTATAAAAGTAATTTATTTTCTTGGTTATTAACCGAACCAATTTATGTGGTTATGGTGCGGTTATGGTATGGTCAAAAAATTGGTGGTACGATTATGGTTTTGGCCGAACCGACCCATAACCGAACCGTTGCCAACCCTAGGTGGTTGTGGTTGTGGTTGTTTAGGTTCCAAGATTTTTTATTTTTCGGTTAACCTCAATTCAGTTTACGTTGTCGACGGTTGTCTGTGTTGTTTGTAGTTTTGGGGTTAGGGTACAGTGGGCGAGGGGCAGAAGATGAAGATTTTCATTTTCCTTTTCCTTTTTCTTTTTCTTTTTTTGATTTCTTAATTTAATTTTTAACTTATTTT